ACCAATTTTATAACCTTTTAAATAAGGTTTCATCACATTCTTAATAAGACTGTGACCTAAAAATTGTTTAAGACCTATTAGCAGTGAGAATAACTGTCTGAACTCATTAAGAGAGGGTATGTTTTTGCATACTTCTTACAAAGTACATGTTATACATTTAATGTGTCCCCTCCCTACAGGTAACCACTTCCTTCCTTGTTCTCCGTGGTGTTCTTGTGCTCAGCTCATAAAGTGTTTGCTGTATAAATGTAAGGACCATAGTTCAGATCCTTGGCACCCACAAAAATGCTGGGTGGGTAAGATTGTAATTTCAGCACTTGGAAGGCAGAGACTACATGCCCAGAGCAAGCTGGCTAGGCAGACTAGCCATAATGGTGACCTGTAGTTTTGTTCACAGATACTGCCTCAATGAGAAGATGGAAATCAATTGAAAAAGACTCCTGAAGTCAACCTTGGGTCTGTACGTGCACAAGACCATATACACGAGTTCATATGTGTGCACGCCACACACACACAGGCAAAAAAAGAAATTTTTTTGAGACCCTAACAAAAGGTGTACATGTCAAAAAAAAAGTGTACATGTCAGTTTATTTGGGTTAGGCAAGGAGAGATACATGTGTTGATTATAGAGGAGTTAACAAGCATATGCTTATACTTATAAATCTTGTTTCAAAGTAGATCTTTGAAAGTATCACAAAGTAATGTGAAGCTCCTGGAGTGAGAAATACATTAAGTTGTATTCGCTTAATTTATTTTGAATGAGTTAGAAGTTACACTTTCCTGATTTCTATAACATAAAATTTCTGGAAAGGGGCTTGATAATGTCATTAAGGGTTGAAAAATAATATATAGATTAAGCATTTCTGTCATTACTTTCCATAGGTACTGTGTGTGTCCTTTCCTCGAGTCCAGTCTAATTTACAAATTAGTATAATTTGAACATGTGTCTTTTGAAAAACCAGTGCTATAGGAAAAGGCAGAATAACAGTATCTAAGATTGAAAGGCAAAGGATATTCTTCAGTTTTGAAAGTGTAAGCACTTTTATTGGCTATCCCTTTACAGCCTCTGGACCTAGTCTGGAGTGGTCTTGGAGAAAACGCACAAGTTCTTAACATAGTTAAGTTTGGAATGGTCTGGGTTTAGCATGGCAGGATGAAATAGTAAAAGCATCACTCATTTAAATAGCAGTTGATTCATGATTTCTAATCTCTGGGATTGTCACTTCCATTCTTCAATCTTCGTTCCTGTCTCTAGTCAGCTGTTTTCTTTTTATCTGTGGTTTAATATCTATGGAATAAGAATTAAGTCGTGCTTCTTCAGCTTAGTAAAATAAGGCTTATGATTTGTTTTCAGTCTGACTTCTATCTCCTCGATCTTTTGATTCAGGACTTTGTTTGCCTGAAATCTCCACCATCCAGGCCCCCACCTGCCCATCTCAAACTTCCTTATGTCTAGATATGGGAGCTTAATCAAAATAAAAAATGTGTTTTACAATATGTGTGCTCATGGGTTTGCTTTTTTAAAAAGTGTTCTGTTTTAGCAAACATTTGCAAGGTCATGTGGGAATACATAGATCATTCTGGAGGGAGTCCACAGGATGGCTCGATGCCTGACAGGAGGAAATCTTGATAGATAACATGGCAGCCAGACCATTTAAGGATCCTAAGAGAGTCTGGATTATCCTAACATCAGCCTGTTGAGGAAGGAATGTGGCTGAATTAAAAGGCGTATGTGGTGATGTAGTCATGTGGGTGATGACTTGTGAAAGGTAGAATGAGTATTACATGGTTTGAGCAGATAGAGGATGATATTAATATGACTTACTGATGTTTCGAGTGTGTTGAGGTATAAGTACAGTTTAGGAGTTAAATTACTGGCTTGAGTAAACATCTAGAAATGTCACCTGATTACTAATTAAAACGAGGGCAGCAAATCACTGTTGTCTGGAGTTATAATTTGAAGAACCTAGCTGTTTTCCTACTCCTCTTCATACTGATTCTGAAGTGAACTTGGAGTAGATTTCATGTTTTCAAACGTTTGCATTTAATTCTTAGTATTTAAGATATGGTATATATGCTTTGGTTTATTTTTGCTGTTTAGCCTAATAACTATACTTTTCATTGGTTCCTACATCAACATACAACTACAAATGAAGCCAGGCGGTGGTGGCGTACGCCTTTAATCCCAGCAATCGGGAGGCAGAGGCAGGCGGATTTCTGAGTTCGAGGCCAGCCTGGTCTACAGAGTGAGTTCCAGGACAGTCAGGACTACACAGAGAAACCCTGTCTCAAAAAACAAACAAACAAAAAAAAACCCAAACAAACAACTAGAAATGAAAAAAAGTTGTTTTATGTAGATTGAGTTTTTGTTTTCTTTCACTTTACTACCCTTGTTTTTTGCAATAAGAGAATTATATAGCCCAGGCCAATTTTGAATTTGGTGGTCTCTTCATTTTTTGTAGCATGTGGTTTATATGGAATGAGCTTACTGAGTATTTTCTGAACTAGTGAATTAAAATATAAGAAAAGTTTAAATCTGATTTCAATTTTTTTCTTCTCATTTCCATAGGATGGCTGGCTGTGGTGAAATTGATCACTCAATAAATATGCTTCCTACAAATAAGAAGGCGAATGAGTCCTGTTCTAATACTGCACCTTCTCTAACAGTTCCCGAGTGTGCCATTTGTCTTCAGACATGTGTTCATCCAGTCAGTCTGCCCTGTAAGCATGTTTTCTGTTATCTGTGTGTAAAGGGCGCCTCATGGCTTGGGAAGCGATGTGCTCTTTGTCGACAAGAGATCCCTGAGGATTTTCTTGACAAGCCAACCTTGTTGTCACCCGAAGAACTTAAGGCTGCCAGCAGAGGAAATGGTGAATATGCGTGGTATTATGAAGGAAGGAATGGGTGGTGGCAGTATGACGAGCGCACTAGTCGGGAGCTAGAAGATGCGTTTTCCAAAGGTAAAAAGAACACAGAAATGTTAATTGCTGGATTTCTGTATGTTGCTGATCTCGAGAACATGGTTCAATATAGGAGAAATGAACATGGACGTCGCAGGAAGATTAAGCGAGATATAATAGATATACCAAAGAAGGGGGTAGCTGGACTTAGGCTGGACTGTGACACCACTCCTGTAAACCTAGCAAGAGAGAGTTCTGCTGATGGTGCGGACAGTGGATCAGCACAGACTGCAGCTTCTGTTCAGCTTCCAGTGCCATCTTCTACAAGGCCCCTGACATCAGTTGATGGTCAGTTAACCAGCCCCGTAACACCGTCCCCTGATGCAGGTGCTTCTTTGGAAGACTCTTTTGCTCATTTACAACTCAGTGGAGACAGCATAGCTGAAAGGAGTCATAGAGGTGAAGGAGAAGAAGATCATGAATCACCATCTTCTGGAAGAGTACCAGATACCTCCGTTGAAGAAACAGAATCAGATGCCAGTAGTGATAGTGAGGATGCCCCTGTGGTGGTTGCACAGCACTCCTTGACCCAACAGAGACTTTTGGTTTCAAGTGCAAACCAGACAGTAGCTGACCGGTCTGACCGATCAGTTGCAGGGGGTGGGACCATGAGTGTCAATGTCAGATCCAGAAGGCCTGATGGACAGTGCACAGTGACAGAGGTTTAAACAAATGTCTTCAGCACCACACTCAAGGGTAAAATGGATACCTGTAAATTTCTGCCCACATAACATTATACTCATCCTTAGTAGTGCATTGTGGGAGTTGGGGTGGGAAGGGGTATGGGAAGGACAGACCTGAAATTAAAATGTCTAACATGCCTCTGCTGAAATTTATTTAATGTGAGGAATTGGGGTGTTGATAGTTGAGAGCTGTTAAGTATAACACAGTTTTCTTGACATCTGTTTACTTTATAGTGTATTTTTTTAAGTCTTTAGTTCTTTTGGCTAGTGTGTCCCTGTGCATTAATGGTCCTCATCTGACTCTTGCACTACCTTATTTTTCTGCATGGATTGGTATAAAATCTTCACTAAAATTTGGCACCTGTGAGATATTTGATATCATAAGCAGGAAGCTTAATGTCGAAAATAGAAGTGAATTTGGGATTTAAAAATAGATGACTAACAACTACTTTCTAGTTGGTCTTACTGAGATAGAAATGTAAAGCTGCAGCTAATAAGTTTCAGAATCTGTAACACACTTCATGGTGTTCCTTTCCATAAGATTTGCTGTCTTGTCCTTGTACTCTGAGGTTTACCTTAGTCTGCATTTTTCTTTTTGATTAAAAAAAATTTATAATTTAATAAATACTAGAGTTTATCAGAAATAATTTGTTTCTTGTTTGAGTTTGGAAAAGGGATGGGGGCACTTTGCTATTTGTGGCTAAAGAGCTTTTTAAAAGGTTTGAATTGATTGTAATCTATTCAAACTGTCCCTTATTCAGAAGTAAGTCTGATTCCTTCAGAAGAGAATATGGAAAGAGAAGCTATCAATGGGTACTGTGTTTGGAATAAACAGATGTGGAAAAAGATCCAAAGACTGTGAGATTTAAATTTCTCAAGCAGTTAATAATATTAATTTACATTTCCTTTACCAGTCTCTATCAGTTCCATTACTGTCTGGGCTACACAGAGAACTTACAAGCATAGTGTTATAGATCCAATAAGCCTACTTTATATGGCTTGGCCAGGTAGGAAGTACTGACGAACACAGAATTGTCAATATGTCTTGGAGAAAACACGTCTGTCTATGTTTCCTTTAAAAAGTGGGATCCCGTGTTTACATACTTCTAAATTCCTTGTATTAGGAGTATCAAGTTAATGGAGTGCTAAAACAACAAGAACGTCATTACTTTGAGTGTCTTTTACCTCTTGTTGAGACTGGTTAGAAGTTAATTCTTACACAGTTTTTAATAAGTGAATTCTGAAGTAGACATAAAGTCTGAGTTATATGTTTATACTAAATTTAGTTATAAAAAGATAGCCACACAAAAATTAAAGTTAGGTACTACTCAAAATAAATCTGGTGAAAATGAAAAGGATGCTTCATGAATCTTTAATAGTTTCAATTAAAAAACCCTATCGACATTACTGTTTTACTGTTAACTTGAAAATTCTAGGGACCAATACAATGCTACTCTGTATAGCCAGTCGGTGCTCAGTAGAGTGGCTTTCACTGTTCAGTACGTCTTTTAAAATAGAAGACAGTTGAAAAGACCAACAAAAGCTCCAAAACCAGAGGCAAAGATGCACCTTTTTTTTCTTTAAATGAAGAACCATTTCCCATCAGAATCCAAGGTGTACAGAGTACGCACACACACAGACAAACACACAAACCCTAATATTTCCCACATGCCTCTAATTTCTCCCAGCTTTTTGCTTCATATGAAAGATTTACTAAGGTCCTTTAAGTTTGTTTTTAATTTTGCTTTTTTAAATTATTTCAACTTAAGAAAGACTGAAACAGCCAAAAATAGCAGTAATAACAAGCATTTGGGAGGCGGTCGCAGGAAGGTCAGAAATTCAAGACTACCCTTGGCTACATAGCAAGTTTAAGACCCTCTCTTAAAGGTTAACTTAGTAAGTTTGTCACAAAATATAAGCCCAGGCTAAGAATTACTACAGGAATGTAGAAATTGGTAGAAGTGTTAAACGTTAAGAAAGACAGACAACAGAGCACTGAGTTGAAGTGTGGAGAACGCCACCCAAACCAAATCTGCATCAAAGCGTCTTCGGATGATTAGTTCTGCTGATTTCTAGTATCCTTTCCCCTCCATGCATGCTCTCACTGCAGCTTCACTTGCAGGACACTTGCATTTCAAAACCTATTTAGTATGTTTTCCTTTCTTAGCAATAGCCTCTAAATTTGCAGGTCCACCCCACAGTGTTTCCAAAACATCTCGTTCATTCTGTAATGCCTCCTCTAAATACAATTCTCGGCCAGAACAGACAGATTTTTTTAAACCCCTAATGACTTGTGGAGGTCCACTGACAAATTGCTCCAGCCACTTTTGTGCCTGTTCTAGAGCCGTAGCTTCATCTGAGGACTGTAAGACCTCGTCAGCCAGGCCTATATTTAAAGCTTCCTTGGAATCCAGTTTGAGAGTCCCACTTAACACTTTGAGAGTTTGTCTGCTGCCAATGATTTCAACCAGCCGGCTGGCACCACCCCAGCTTGGAACTATACCCATCTCCTTGTGGACAAATCTGATCACACTTTCTTCAGTCATTAACCTGTAAAAACAAAAAGAAAAAAACTAACTACACGCACATACTAGAACCATAGAGTAGTCAATGTTCCTGGTCTCACAGGAAATCACTTATCTTTTTAGGCAGACATAAAAATGTTGGAAAAATGTCCCAGCTAGAATTTAACTTAACATATAACTATTCAACAAACACTTGCTTTTAAAAGTAACATTTTTGTTTCAAATTTTCTAAACTCTGATAAGAACTCAGCCTCTCATTTAAGGAACTTTATGTTGCCAAATTCTCAAAGTAACTGTGACATAAATACTCTCATTTTTATGGTTGAAAAAACTTGCAAGGAAGTCTAATAGCTCGTCCAAAGTCATACAGCTTTAGTTAACACCAGGATTTGACCCCTAGATAGTTGGCTTCAGTGTCTGGATGCGTATCTCATGGCACAAGTCAAAGCTAGACCAATGCAGAAGCAGGAGTGACCATAAGAAAGATGGCAGTAGCTTGGATTGACAGTAAGTTCCCATAGGAGTTATACCCAACTAGTGTTTTTATGGATAGCGCAGTTCATAAAGAGAATAACTGATGGATGTAGAAAGAAGCTTCACATCTAGTTACTTGTGTAACCAGGGTCCTGTAAAGTTCTAGTGTGTACATTATCTCTAGGATATCTGCAATGGTTTTGTTGTATGCAACAATGGAAGGCTTTTTTTTTTAATGTGTAAACCTAATTTGAACTAACTGTCATACTGAAATTCTAGTATTTTCCTAAGAATAGTCATTTTGAAAACTCAGTAAAAAAGAAGAGCTGAAGTGCCTTGCCTTCCAGCACATTGTACATTCAACTGTGGATGGCTTAGTTCTCAGAGTACCAAGTGTCTTACGCTGAAGCCTGACCTTGAATCATGAAACCCTGCAGTGGAGAATTCCTGCAAAAGCCTAGTAGCCCACTGGGAACCTTTGTCCTCAGAAGATGGATGTCCACCAGAAATGTGTCACAATGATGAGCAATTGCTTCTACAGTCAAGTACATGGAAATGGCTTCAGTAAATAGTTTTAAATGGGTATCAAGCAGAACAGTCTTCAACAAAAGGACCTGAATCTAATCCCATAATGGCAATCTGCCATAAATTTGGGATGGAATTAAATTTGTAAAATATAATGTCTAACAGTTGTGGAAACAAATATTTACTCCTCTTAAGTAGCATAATTACTTAAATATGCTGGTTTTTAAACCAAATTTTGGAGTTGACATGTGTTGGCTTAGCTATGACAACTGAGAAAATGATGATGTAAGGAGTAATCTTATTTGTAACTGAACATAAAAGTTAGTAAGACACTGCATGTTGGTACATCGTAGATAACATGGCACGAGCTCCACTGCTTCTAAGAAACCTAGGCAACCATCCTTACGTAGGTTTTGTTTCATCATTGTACAAGGTCACTTTTGTCAGTTTTTAAAGTTTTATCACATTTTTCATATGTGTGTGGGCACACATGCCATGCCATATGTATGGAGGTCAGTTGCTTCTCTCTTTTCACCACGTGAGTCTTGCGGATGGGACTTGGTTGGGTGGTCAGGCTTGGCAGGAAGTGCCTTTAGTCACCGAGCCAGACTCATGACCCCAAGTTTGCCCTTTTTGAATCCTATTTTACACCTAACAAATCCTCAAAAAATTCTTGTCAAAGCATGTACAATAATCTGACATATGTTAGATTTTTTTCATAAATTACATACCTATTATGCTTGTGTTGATGTACCCTTTAGTATGCACTAAACATAATTTTGAAAATCCACTGGTGTCTCAACAGTGACAGGTACATAGCACTTAGCAGAAAACCTTTTTACAAGATTCTTTATTAGCCTCACAAAGTTAAACTTTAAAATTTCAAGTCTTGGAAAACATAATTCAAGAGAAAATCATGGAATCAAATAAGATATATCTCAAAATAGAAACTGCTTCATCATCTTCTAGGATTAAGCAGTAATTCTAGAGTTCACATGCAGTTACCTAGTAGTAACTGAAATGTCTATTGCTAGGGAGAGTCTATGTACCCATAAAGACTTTAGCCCTTATAATTATAAAGACATAATATTCCACTTATAAAATCATTAAACTCCCTTTGACATAAAAGTTCTATGTGCCACTGACATAAAGCAACAAGGAGATGAAATTCATCAGATGTTAATACATTTCTTACAGCTATCTGGATGGAAGAGTTATAGCAAAAATTACCCATACTGGGCAGACTATTATTTTGTGTGTGCACAGGCACACATATACCACAGCATACCATGCAGGTCTCAAGACAATGTAAGGGAAATGTTTCTCCACCTTTGCCATGTGGGACCCAGAGATTGAACCCATGTGTCTTTACCTGCTCAGCCATCTCTGTGGCCGACTGGTACTTTTGACAGGGATGCAGATCTAATGCTGACCTAAGGAAAGAGTACTCTGTGTGCTTCCACTAGTTTCTGATGAGTTAACCCCAAGTTTCAGGGTTAGTAATCATATCCAAGAACATTTTTAAATGAATTTATTAACAAACTACTCAACAGGACGTGTTTTATAAAATATATACAAGAAAACCAGTATTAAGTGTTCACTGATGAAGAAAGGTATTGTGACCTGTGATAAAAGGCGAGTATGTATTGAACTAGAAGACTGCAGAGCTCTCCTGTGCAGTGCATGGAGCCACAGCCAGACTCTGGAGCTGGACCTCCTAACACAGTCTCTCTGGCTGCGCACTGCACCCCATAGAGTGCAGCCAAGGGACAGGACACACAGACAGAGGAAGAGGACTATCGTTATGTAAACCCTAAGCAGTTACTTGCCTTCTCTTGGCCTGAGTTTGCTTGTCTATAAAGCAGTTCTTGTACCACAGAACATTAGTTATCAAGTGTGTTCCTATATAATAAATACTTAGAGCATGCAGTTTCCAATTCCTTTATAAATAATATTTTAAAAATCTATGATACTCTACTATAATGTACTTTTACTTAGAAATATTAAAGCCTTATATATAATAAGCTTTGTGTATTAGCATTTGTTAAAATTTAGTAGAACTGTTAAACAAATTAGCACAGAAATGCTGTCTGTTGGAATTCTAAATTGTTTCCTTGTCTAATATTATATAATCTTTAATTCATTTAAAATTAGAACAACCAACTTTACAGTGTGAAACCCAGTATGGTAGTGGGCCACCTTTCAGTGATGATTACATGAATGGAGACCATAAGACAGACATATGGTTTTGTCTTACCAAATAAGGAAAAAGAACATTTTGTTTATCTAGACATGGGATTGAAGTAGAAGATTCAAACTGATTATGAAAGAAAAAAACAGACATTTATGCCTTTAAGGTTTCTTAAGGGAAACTAGGAAATATAGGTAACAACATAGACATTAAAAAAATGTATTGCATTTTGAAAGGTTAAGTGGAACAGGAGAGACAATGCATAACTACTATATTTCTGTGAAGTAAAGTTTGTTAAAAACTAGTATTAACTTGCTATTCATTTATCTGGGTTATTTCTCTAGCCTTCAGCCTTTATTCTCTTAGGAAGATTCACATGAAATGTCTGATTCAGGAGAATGTTTCTGACAGTTACATACACTAAATCTATTACCAGCTGGTGACTGAGGGGCTGGGGAAAGGGCTATTATTCATATTGTTATTCCATCTGCCAGAGTACTTTTTCCCTGGAAAGAGAGGAGCTGCTTGGGTGAAAATGTCAGCTGAATGAATTCCAAACAATTATCGAGGCTAAGAAAGTTAAGAATGTTAAAGGAGCCAAAATACATACTTTAAATAGGAACTTCCCTTTTGAGTGCAGTGCTATAAAAGCTTTTGATGTTTGCAGATATTCATGTAAATCACTGGGCACAAAGATGACTAGTAGGGCACTGGGAAAAGTATCAGCCAGTGTGACTTGTACTGAGGTACCACTTCGTTGTGACTGGAGCTAGTACTGAAGCATATTCAGCAGGCAGTCCTTTCTGGAGCCCGTTTAATACTGTAGCTGCTCTTAAATCCAGGATGATGATTTTCAAACTTCTATGGTAAGAATCTATATTTTTCTTCACTTAAACAAAAATTGTTTCTCTTATCTTCCCTTTCTCTACAGAAGGTAACACACCTAGCAACAGATCCTATATATAATTTACCTAAACATATATACCAACAAGAAAGTTGATTTAATGAAATATAGCTAAAAATTAAGACCAGTAATAAATATATCAATTTTAACTGTATACCGAAATAAGATTCCCAATATCACTACTCTATAGCAATTATTAAGTAAAATAAAAATTGCATTGAGTATAAGCCCATGTGATAGCATGGCAGAGGCTTTGATAACCTAGACAGCTACTAATGACTACTGGGCAGGTATCAGCATTGCACAGTTCAAAGGAATAGTTCACCTCTAAGCAGACAAAGTAGAATGGCATGAGATGCCACCAGTCCACTCAGAGGACCATGCAATTTGAAACTGAGAAACTATTTACTGCCGTAACTTTATATTTAAAATTTTTAGATTGTAGTTTGACTACAGGTAATTTGTAACAAAAAAGATGCAAAATCTTGGTAAGAGAAGGGATACTACTAGAAAAATTTTTAGGAATCAAAGACATGCATGTTTTGTAGATGGCTATACCCGGCTTACAGAGGTGCGAAAAAATGTTGCGCTAACTCTGGCATTATTTCCATAAAAGTGACTATGCTTTCACTGAAAAGCTATTTTAAAAACATATCAGGTACGTTACTGCATGTATCTGATAATCAAGACATAATCATGCATATCATAAAAAATATTCAGTAAGATTCTAATATGCATAAAACTCTAGAATGACACAGTATATCAATTATTAAGTAGTCTCTGATGGTCTTCTCTGATTTGTTTCTCTTATCCTAAATCCTAAGTATTCTAAATTATGAAGAGGAAAATTAATATGAAAGATGATACAAAGATCTAGTAAACACTTGAAGAAGAAAGAGCACCAGATACAACATCAAAGGATTTTTATTTTTATCAATGAGCACCTAAAAATTCTTAACTTGTAGTCCTATGGAAGAACATTAAGTATATTAGTACCTGTCTGCATATAGCTTAGAACTATTTAAACATGTTTTATGTTTATACAATTACATATTTGAATTATATACTCTAATGAATTATATACTCGTATCTCTGGGTAAAATAAGGGAAGCATTTAATCAATTTATACATAAAGCATTTCCTATTTAGTCTCACATCACCCATAAAGCCATGACTGCTTCCTCAAAGAACAAAACAGAGGCCCCTAATGCTGTCTGAAGTCAGGACAGCAGAGAGTGCTGTAACATGAAATAACCTTTTCTCTTTTTCCATTGCATCTATGAAGGTAAGGGTTTATTCTGGCTCAGTTTTTGAGGGTGCACTTTCTTATGACAAGGAAGGTATAACATTGGGAATGGGGGGGACTGCTCTGTACACTTAGGGACACTCAGGAAACAGCTCTAAGTCCTGGTGTTCTGCATGCATTGCCCCAGACCATAAAGTAGTGCCACTCACAGTAAAGGAGAATAGTCCCACTTCAATTCACCTAATTTACGTATTCCTCATGGATGTGTCCAATGGTTTGTCACTGAAGTACTCTAGATCCTGTCAGGCTGGCAATCAATGTAAACCAATATACTGAACCCAAATATTCATCCTGATGGAAATATAAACAACTGGCTTGCTAATTTACTTTCATTGTGTATATTTATTTAAATGATTGACTAAAGCAAAAATACAGCAATTGTGTTATTACAATGCATAGAAGCAAAATAAAGATAATACCCAAAGGGCAGGACACAAGAAATAAATGTATAGTATAATATAGTATTACTCCAATTAGTTTAGGATTTTGTGGAGTGCTGTGACCACTTTAAGATACATACTGTTAATTCAAAACTCATTCTCTCTGTCTCTGTCTCTCTCTCTCT